GTTCCTCTGATGCATCATGAGGACACCCAGTGTGCTGTGGAAGAACTGTCACTGAGCTGCTGTGCCTCACTCTTGGCGTTGTGTCCTGTCAGGCAACTCATGACCAGTAACATTCCTGTGCGTGGCACCTGCCAGTCTGCCCCCATGGCTACTTAAGCTGGTTAGCTTTTGTCAGTTTGACACAAACTAGAGACTGTGGGAGGAGGGAGCCTCATTTGAGGAATTTCCTCCATCAGACTGGCCTGTGTCCATGTCTGCGGGCATTTTCTGGATTGCTAATTGATGTCGGAGGGCCCAGCTCACTGTGGATGGTGCCACCCCTGGGCAGGTGGGCCTGTGTTGCATAAGAAAGCAGGCTGAGCAGGGGCCAGGGGAGCAAGCCAGTAAGCAGCGTTCCTCCACGGCCTGTGCTCCAGCTCCTGCCTCTAGGTTCCTGCCCTGAGTTCCTACCTTGGGCTCCCGGATGAACTGTGACCCAGGAGATGTAAGCTGAATAAACCCTTTCCTCCCCAAGTTGGTAGTGGTCATAGCATTTTGTCACTTTAATTGAAGGCAAACTAGAACACTCCCAAGTTGCTTTCAGTCAGTGTTTTATCGCAGCAACAGAGAGGCACTCTTTCCCCACTGTGATGCACAGGTCTTTGGGGTGGTCTCCGAGGCTGTTGGCCCATGAGTGTCCTCTCACAGGCTGACTTGTGGGGACGTTTCATGTCTGTGTTGATTGCCTCTCCCGCCAGGTGGAGCTCTTCTAACTGCATTATTCCTGCTGCTGCATCTGTTGGTGGGCTTCCCCTCAGATGAAAAGGTTCTTTTTAAATCCTCACAAGGTAGATTCAGGTTTCTCTGTATCCAGGATATTGGTCATTAACACCTGGTGTTAGCATCCAACCCGGGCCAGTGGGTGCCCTCGGGAATGACTCTGGGCATTGTTTGAGTTACGTTTATGGTTTCTGTGACTAAATACCTCACAAAAACAACTGAAGGGAAGACGTTTATCTTGGCTCACATGTTGAGCCCTTCGTGGTGGGAAGGCATGGCGGCAGGATGGGAGGCAGCCGCTCACGTTGCATCCAGTCAGGAAGCAGAGAGAGATGGACGCTGGTGTTCAGCTTGCATTCTCCTTTTTTTTCAGTCCAGGACCCCAGTTCATGAGATGGTGCTGTCCACATTCAGGGTGGGTCTTCCCTCCTCAGATAACCTAATCTAGAGACTACAGAGGTTTGTTTCCATGGTGATTCTATATTTGATCAAATTGTCATTCAAGATTGACCAGGGCGGCATGCTCTAATCTGATCCTTCCTTTCTGACTTAGGCTATCTCAGGCTCCTCTTGCTCCTCTCCTGCCTCAGTCCTGAAAGCACCATAGTATGAAACAAAAGGCACCGAGGAACGCCTCATAGTGGTGGTTGAATCAAGAGTCCTTTAATAATTAGCTAGCAGTCAAGAGGAGACTAAGGTCTGAAAGAACTCTTGACCCCAAGGAGAAGCAGGGCAGGGTTTATAAAGCTTAAAAGCACAACTGCACCATGTCAGGGGCAAAGACAATAACCATAGTCACATCAGATCACCATAGTCACCCCAGACCATGGCCAGGTGAACTCATAAAGACGTTTACAGTTTAAAAAAAAAAAATGCATCTAAGTTTCAGTTAGGGAAAACAGGCTTCTCAGAATTGCAGAAACAACGGGTTCCATGGAGACGCAGGGAGGGGACATGTTACCTGACTAGTTGTAACTTCCCAAGTATTGTAGAAACAATGTACTCCCCAAAACTGCCTGTGTGAGAGTTCTGCCTGTCTGGCTGCTGTTAGCAAACATGAGCAGGGGGTTGTGGGAAGCTGGGCGGAAACACAGGATAAAGCAAAAGTCAGCTAGTATAAACTGGTCAGTTTTGTCATTTCAATCACCACCTCTCTAGGAGCCTTGAATCTCTCTAGTGTAGAAAAGACAAAATACAGCCAGGTGTGGCGGTTCACACCTGTGATTTCAATGCCTGGGAGGCTGAAGCAGGAGGCTGGCTATGCCGAGTTCTAGGTCAGCCTGGGCTACAGAGCAAGATCCTGTCTCAAAATACAATAAGGTAAACTGAAAATAACAGACAATAAAGACATAATTGCATTCCTTCCTGGGTACTTGAAATCGGCTGCCTCATTTGTCACACCTCACGGGGTATCCCCACTTCACAAATACCCGTTCCACTTCATTGATCAATGAATGGTAGCAAGAAAACCTCTGCATATTCAATACAGATGCAAGTTTTTCCTAACTATTTTGGTCTGTGGCTGATGGACGCTCCAGCTCTGGAGTCTGTGCATACAGAGGGCCAACTGTCCCCACTTGGTTATTTCTCTGTAAATCAAAAACCATGAGCTTATCCAGGCATGGCAAGGCACACCTCTAATCCCAGCATTTAAGAGGCAGAGACAGGAGGGCCACCACAAGTTTAAGGCCAGCCTGATTTACATAATGAGTTCCAAGCCAGCTAGGGCTACATAGTGAGACTCTGTTTCCAAACAGTCAATTAATAAAGTAATCACATATAACCTGGGTTCATGCTGATACCACATTCCAAGCCAGCACCACAAGGCTCTAGATTTCCTGAATTGTGTTTCAGGTCCCCTCCTCAGTAGAGCGAAACCAGCCTGAATTCCTCATGCATGCATCTGTTTGGTGATCCCCGACTGCAGGTGACCCTTTAACAGGATGCCTGGCAAAAAGAAGACCCTGGGTTTCTGCACTTTTGTGAATGTTTTGGTTTTATTTATTGCTAAACAGTAAGCATGTAAACGGAAGACTTACATGAAGAGGGCTCTTGGGGACACTCATCCCAGCCCTACCACACTCTGTCTTATTTTGACCCTTGGTGAAGAAATGTGACAGGATCCCAAGAAAGTGACTTCAAACCCCATAAATTCAAATTAACTCTGGGAAGGGGTGTAATGAGTCGGGATTAATTGTTCCGTGTGCCTTTGGTAACAGAGTTTCCCCTCTTAACTGTCTACAGAGCCATTAAATTAAGCTGCTGCAAAATGCTTCCTCCCCGAAGCCCTTCTCAGAGAGCTGATTAGCCAAATTGTTTCTTCAATTTAGGGAGCAAAATTTCCAGCTCAAACTGGTTGAAGGGGTGGGAAGATTAGGCTTTGTTTTAATGTCTCTGAAAAACCCTGGCGTGGTGTGGGGACGCTGTAGCTTAGGCCCTGGCGTGGTGTGGGGACGCTGTAGCTTAGGCCCTGGCAGGGTCTTCTGGCTTAGCCTTTGGGTCTCCCTGTTCCCGTCCCTTCTCTGTTCCCCTGTGTGGTACCCTGGCAGCTTTAAAGGGTGCTTTCCCAGAAGTTCTGACAGCCATTCCCACCTCAAGGATTTCTGAGGTTCCCCCCTCCAAAACTTTCCTTGCCTTGAATGATGGGGCTGCTGGCTACCTGGCCATGGCCCATACCTCTGCAGGATCAGGGTTCATCTGGGTCCTCTGGACCATCAAGAGCTGGCCAGGGCAGCCCCAGGACAAGGCAGGTACTGTGAGCGAGGTGGAGTCGCCGGGCCAGGCAGGCCGAGAGCACGTAGGGTATGTAAATTGATGCTTTTCAGGTGCTTTTAAAAACTGATCTGATTCAGTGCTGGCCTCTTTCTGTCTTCTTCACTCTTAACTGACCAGGCTTCCTCTTGTGGACCCCACTGAGGTGAAGTGTACTCTGTACAGTGATCGGAGATGGTCTGGTGACCTGGGGCAAGTCCTGGCAGCCATAATGGTGTGGCCTTGGTGGGAAGTGCTGATCAGAACCCACACACCCCACCTTCTGCAAAGCCGCTGCCTGAGCTTGAGTGGTGTACACTGACAGTCACCCATGCAGTGGCCTCTGTGCCCTTTTGAGCTGGGATGGGGTGGACTGCATCTGCTTTTTAGGCCCAGTGTTGTATGAGGTCCTTTTGTAAAAGTCCTTGTTCCCTGTACCTCGTACAAACCCGTGAGGGGCATTGTTCCTGCTCACAGACAAGAACATAGGCTCCATAGGCTCGAGGTAACAGTTCTGCTAACAAGATGTCCGGGCCCTGGTCCAGGTCTGTTTGGCCTCAAAGTTCACCGTGTCGGCCCCTGGCATGACTGGGAAGGAAGGAGTGCCGCACATGGTGGGGCTGCCCTGCCCTGGCTCCTATGGAAGGTTGGATTGCATTGAAAGGTGACATGAGGCTGTCCTTTCCTGTGGGAGGAGAGGTGCAGGCACCCCCTCCACAGAGCCATGGCTGTGGCACGCCGCCTCCCTGCCTGGGAGCATGGACCACTAACACAGGCTAAGCATTCTGATCTGTCTCATGGAGCTTGGCACCCAGGTCAGGAAAAGACTTGTGTCTCTCAGAGGCTCCTGGACCCACATGGGAAGAACCTCGGGGCTCCTTCAGACCTCTTGTCCAAGAGCACAGGTTCCCACCTGTTCAGGGGATCCTCTTCGTCACCCACAACTGGGAACCTGGGGTACAGGAGTGTGATGTCTGTGGGCCTCAGTCCACAAGGCTGAGTGTGCTGTGGTGTGCCAGGGGCCCCGCCACCATTTTGGATAAGTGGAAGGGTACTGGACATGGGTTTGTGACTGGGGACAGTTGATGCCAGTCTTACACAGCCTCTGTGTCTGGGGCCCAGCCAGCAGGGGCACCAAGGTCTCACGAAGCCCCTATGTCTGGGGTCTGGCCAGCAGGGGATGCTAGGGTCTCATACAGCCTCTGTGTCTGGGACCCACCCAGCAGGTCACCAGGGTCTTACACAGCCTTTGTGTCTGGTTCTGGCCAGCAGAGGGCACCAGGGTCTCACACAGTCTCTGTGCCTTGGACCCAGCCAGCAAGGGATGCAGGGGTCTCACACAACCTCTGTGCCTTGGACCTAGCCAGCAGGGGATGCTGGGGTCTCACACAGCCTCTGTGCCTGGGTCAGCAGGGGATGCTGGGGTCTCACACAGCCTCTGCGTCTGGGTCAGCAGGGGACTGAAGTCTCATGTAATCTCTGTGTTTCAGGCCTGCAGGTATGGTCACGTCCAGCATTTGGAGCACCTGCTTTTCTATGGCGCGGACATGAGTGCACAGAACGCCTCAGGGAACACAGCCCTGCACATCTGTGCTCTCTACAACCAGGTCAGTGGCCTGTATATCCCCAATCCTACCCCCGGGGTGCACTGGGCACAGGATGGACAGCCTGGCCTGAGTGTCGCTGGTGACCCTCACCTACTGCCTCAGTGGAAACCAGGCATGAAGCCGTGAGCAGCCCTGGGCCACACTCTAGGACTGCTGTCTGCCTCCTCCCGGGAGGAGCTGGGACCTCCTCTTCCCCTCGGTTGAGTTCCGGCTCTGCTCACCCTGCCCCTGTCTAAGCCCCCATGCCCCTGTTCACCATGTCAAATATGCGTAGCAAAGTAGCAGATAGTAAATAAATAACATAGTAAATGATAGTTAAAAAATAGCATAGCAATAGTAAAACTTTTAAACATTCTAGGTGCAGCTCTTTGACATTCAGCACGCTCACGGTGTTGGGTAGCTGTCCCCATCTACTCCTACCTACAACTTTCCATCTTCCCAGACTGAATCTGTCTCCAGGAAACACTGACTCCCTACCCCTCTCCAGGCCCCAGCACCCCACTCTGCTTTCTCCCTCGTGGGTCTGAGGACTCACTGGGGGCCTCCTAGGAGTGGGATCCTGCATGAACCGGTCTTCTGGGTCCTTACCGTGTCCAGGGTCCACCTTGTGGTGGCAAGTGTTAGATACCTTTCCTTTTGAGGCTGACTCCTGTCCCGCTGTGGGAATGACACACTTGCTCATCTGCCCGTCTGAGGGTGGATACATGGGTTATTCTGCTTTGGGTCCTTGTGACCAGTACTGCAGTGACCTAAGTGTCCAGCCCTGGCTTCTGGTCCTCACAGGGACAGACTCCTAAGTAGAGTCACACGCCCCCAGAGCTTCCGTGTCTGGCCTGTGGTGGTGTGTTTGGGAAGCCCTGAGGCTGGGGCTGCTGCTCTTCAGGAGAGAGACCCCTCAGTAGCTGGAGGTTGACTCCTGGACCATGAGCACTGTGGGTTGGGTGTGGAGGGGAGACAAGAGAGTGTGCCCCACCGGAGGGGCAGGAAGAGTGGCCGCTCAAAGGATGTGGGTGGCTTGTGGGAGTCAGCTTCAGGAGACTGTCCTCGATACCTGTTCTAGCCTGCTTTTCTATTGCTGTGATAAAAACACTCTGAGGAGTGTTAGGGGAGACAAGGGTTTATTTGGATTACAATTCCCAGTCACAGTCCATCCCTGGTGGAGGGCGGGGCAGGAACTCGCAGAGACCGTGGAAGAACGCTGCTTACTGGATCACTCCCTGGCTTGTGCTCAGCCAACTTTCTTATACAGCCCAGGCCCACCTGCCTGGGGATGGTGCTGCCCACCATGGGCCCTGGCCCTCCCACATTAATCATCAGCCACGGTACCCCCCACAGACATGGTCACAGGCCATCTGATCTGGGAAATTCCTCAGCTGAGATTCCCTCTTCCCAGGAGGCTGTAGGAACTGTCCAGCAGTTCCCAAGGTCAAGTTAACACCTTCACTAAAGGCCTTCTCGACTCCCACATGCTTTTCATCTTATTGTGAAACATCAAGTCTGGAGAGTGGTGACTTGTGGGCACAGCCCCAGGCAGCTCGGCAGAGAGCAGTGGGGAGACTCGCTCTTGGCCAGTTGACAGGGTCTCAGTGGATGGGCTGTGCTAGAAGTCCCCCGGAGTCTACCCTTGTGGCTCTCTTCCAGTCTCCACACCATAATCCCACCCCATTGCTGACTGTGGCTTCAGGTGACAACTCAAGCCTTAGCCCACAATGACCCAAGTCTGTTCGAAGATCCTCTTGTCTGCTCCCTGATCCCACTTTGCTTCTAACCGGTAACTTTCCTGGATCCTTTGCCCTGGAAAACTCTGCATCCTTCAAGATCCTGTTGACATAGTCCATGCCCAGTCAAGCCTTCTCTTGACCTGGTAGAATTTGTGGGTGTCTTTCCTGGCAGACTATTGCCAGGTCTAGGTGGGTGAGGTTGGGGTAGCATTGCAGCTGGAGTGTCTTTCGGTGCTCTTGGCTCACATACATTCAGAGTGTGTCAGTACAAGTGGTTCTGGGTCCCCTGTGGTGTGTGGATGTTGGAATCCTCGTTAAGTGTGGGAATACTCAGCTGCATTAGAAAACACATCAGGAGGCTTGGCTGGGCCTAGAGAAACATCTGTGCCAACATCTGCTTTGTAATGATTGCCTGAGAAGGGAAAACATACCTCAATTTTCTCCAGTGTATTTTGAGCGTATTTTAATCAGGAAATCATGGTTTCTGCCACTTAAAAGAATTGCAGGCATGATGGTCTTTGAGGGGGTATATGAGGGATTTTATCAGGTTGTCTATACTCTAAGCTGTTTATGCAGCTGACCCTGTTGGGGGGGGTCACTCCATAAACTCCAGCACTGTCTCCACCTCCCGGAGGGCCCTCAGCACCCCCAGGAGGGTCCCCAGCTGGCCAGGCTTCCCCCGTACACTATCAGAATAGAGGCCAGCTGACTTTTACTATTTTACAGGGCAGGTTGGCAAACACTTTACACTTTGGGCACTGCCTGAGCCCTGTGGTAGCATGTGAGATCCACAAACATGGTGCACATGCAACTCAAGGCAAGAGGTCATAACCAGTGTGACTGCATTGCAAGGGAAATTTATTTGCTCAGTAGGCAGTAGGGTGATCTGGCCCCCACTATTGGCCAAGCTTTACAGTGAAAGGTTGCACCTGCCTCTCTCTCCCCTCTTAGTTACAGGCTTTCTCCTCCCCAAAGCTGGGTGACTTCTACCTCCCAGGCCAGCAAGTCTGAGCAGCTGTGGGGACAGCTATGCCTTCCCAGGGTGCTGGGATCATCAGGGCAGCCTGCTGCTGCCCAGCTCCAGCCCATGTGTCTGTCCTCTACAGCCAGGAATGTTGGCTGCCTGCCTTGTGTCACATCCAGGGATGTCATGTTGGCTCATAGGCACTGGAGTCATCGGCTCCACAGCCCCTGAACGGCATGTCACCAAGTGCTTCAGGGTCTGTCCCTCCATGGATGCTGGGGGGGTCTTCAGTCTCTGCCCTCCGTCCTTCCCCAGCCTGACACTGTCTGACTGTGTGTGAAAGAGGCTGCTTCTGTGCAGCTCTGAGAATCTCAGCCCTGTGCCACCTGATGGCGCTTGGTATTTGTGGGCAGCTGTCCAGGAGGAACGGAGGACCCAGCCTTTGCCGCGGGCTGCACACCGCTCATCCCTCCCCTATGTCTCTGTCCCCACTGCATCATCATCTTGTTGGCAACCTGTGCCCATGTCCCCTTCTCTACACACATGTGATGATATATGTGACTGTGCAGGCTCAGGTAGGGACGACAGAGACCACACCAGCAATGTGATGTAGAAAGTGGGGTCACGTGTGCATGCTGGGGACTCCCCCCCGGGAGTCAGGCAGGGTTCAGGGGAAGGAGGTCAGAAGTCAGTCAGGGAAGTGGACCAGACGTGTGAGGAGCCTGGCTGACTGCTCTGCCAGTGTGAACTGGGACCTGGTTGTGCTGCGGGGCATCTGTGTCTTTCTTGGAGCCTGTGTTTCTCATCTGCAATGTGGGCAAGGGCCTGAGTCACAGGGCTGCCAAGAGGTTGGGGTAGGAATCAAAGGTCTGTGATATGCAGTGTGTGTTGAGGCTCAGCAACTTGTGGCTGTAATTGTGGTGATGATGGTGACAATGATGCTGGTGGTGGTGATGGTGATGGTGGTGGTGGTGGTGACGGTGATGCTGCTGCTGCTTGTGATTGTGGTGATGATGATGGTGGTGATTATGATGGTGATGATCATAATGGTGGTGGTGGTGATGGTGGTGGTGCTGGTGATGCTGGTGATAGTGATGATGATGATGATGATGATGATGGTGATGATGTTGGTGACAGTGATGCTGCTGCTTGTGATAGTGGTGATGATGGTGGTGATTATGATGGTGATAATGATAATGGTGGTGGTGATGGTGATGGTGGTGATGGTGATGACAGAGATGGTGGTGGTGGTGGTGATAAGAAAAGAGTGATGGTGCTGCTGCTGCTGCTGCTGCTGGTGTTAATGATGGTGATGGTGGTGAGAAGGATGATGGTACTGGTAATGATGGTGATGGTGATGAATGTAATGGTGATGGTGGTGATGATGTTAATGGTGATAATGATGGTGATGATGATGTTGAATGTAATGATGGTGGTGAGGATGGTGGTGGTGGTGGTGATGATGTTAATGGTGATGATGTTGATGGTGATAATGGTGATGGTGATGATGGTGATGACGTTGATGGTGGTGGTTGTGATGGAGGTGATGGTAGTGATGATGGTGATGGTGGTGGCGGTGATGATGGTGATGGGGATAATGGTGATGTGATGGTGATGATGACGTTGATAGTAGTGGTGGTGATGGAGGTGGTGGTAGTGATGATGGTTGTGATGATGGTGGTGATGATGTTAATGGTGATGATGTTGATGACGTTGATGGTGGTGGTGGTGATGGAGTGATGGTAGTGATGATGGGTTGATGATAATGGTGATGATGTTGATGGTGGTGGTGATGGAGGTGATGGTAGTGATGATGGTGATAGTGGTGGTGATGGAGGTGATGGTAGCGATGATGGTGATGGTGGTGGTGATGATGTTAATGGTGATGATGGTGGAGATGGTGATGACATTGATGGTGGTGGTGGTGATGGAGGTGCTGGTAGTGATGATGGTGGTGATGATGTTAATGGTGATGATGGTGGAGATGGTGATGACATTGATGGTGGTGGTGGTGATGGAGGTGCTGGTAGTGATGATGGTGGTGATGATGTTAATGGTGATGATGGTGGAGATGGTGATGACATTGATGGTGGTGGTGGTGATGGAGGTGCTGGTAGTGATGATGGTGGTGATGATGTTAATGGTGATGATGGTGGAGATGGTGATGACATTGATGGTGGTGGTGGTGATGGAGGTGCTGGTAGTGATGATGGTGGTGATGATGTTAATGGTGATGATGGTGGAGATGGTGATGACATTGATGGTGGTGGTGGTGATGGAGGTGCTGGTAGTGATGATGGTGGTGATGATGTTAA